ACGTACGCAATATACTTTTGCGATGTTCTCCGAATATTCTCAGAATCTACATGTGCTGTTAGGGTCATTATTTCCATGGCATCACACAATGTCGATGTGGACATGATTACAATTCCGAAAATGACGATCGAAATATGATCTCGCCGTATTTTCCACACAGTCGGTAAAGATATGTAAGATGATTAGAATCTATTAACGATACGACGACACAACGTGCACGTACCTGACGTGAAACATAAGACGGTGTCGTTATGGCTCCTGCACATTAGGATGCGATAACGCTTACCGCGCGACAAGAAGCAACGCGGTAGCCAATCAATCTTTCACTCTCGCTCTTTCAGAAAAGTTGTCAGTTGGTTGGCTATCGCGTTGCTTTTGATCGCGCGGCAAGTGTTGCCGTGTCCTGTGTGCAGGAGCTATTAGAATGAAGACGCGGCTGACGCAACAGATAGTCGATAGTTATTTGTTCAGCAAAGAAAGCAACTCGGCGAGCATACAATGATTCTTTAATATGATTGGTTCTCATTTATAATTTTTCGCTTGATCTACGTGTAAAAATCAATCATAATAAAAAATAATTTAGCACTTACCGAGCTGCTTTGTCTGCTGAACGTAGCCGTTGCAACTGAACATATGCGACTGGTAGAGGAAGCAAAATGTGCAGGTTCAAGAAAGAAATGTTGATTTCAAGTATCTGATGTTCTTCACTAAAGAATTATAGTAAGCTAATTTATTGAAATAAGAGTAATTACTTGTTTTGAGATAACATTGTTGTGCGAAATATAAAAATCTTATTTCAAATGATAAATTTTGTTCTTAGAATAAACATGTTTATTTGAATTGAAAATATGGATTTACTTTAAACAAAAACAAATTTCTTGTTTCAAAATTATATTCCGCTATTTCTGAATCTATTGCATGGAATTGAAAGAAATACACTAAATTTTTCTGGTCTAATAAATTTTCTTATATTAATATATTATCAAATATTTAAATTAACCAAATCTGACTTTTCTTCGATAAAATTTTATAATATTCTTCAACGGAAAATAATTACTTTTTTTGAGTATATGATGATGAGCTTATCAATTTGTGACGAGTATATTTTAAGACTATTATCAAGAAAATATTCTTTATTAAAGATAATTGTTACTTAAAAAAAGAAAAGTAAACCGAGTAATTACTTTTCTTAGCAATAGAATATTTTTCTCTGTGTACATATGTAACATGGTCAACAACTTTCGTATTATAAGTTATATTGATGCGGTGTAGTGTATATCACACATTTATCGAATAAAAGTACACCATACATGGCCTGTCCCAAAAATAATGAGACTATTTTTGGCAAGCTAGTCAGAAGGGTCGGAGGATGGATCTATTGGACAGAGCGGTTGGTAAGGGATGTTAGGTATACAGTCTGACCCAATTCAGTTGTCTCCGAGCCGTTTCAACATTCAGATCGCCAGCAAAGCGTGAAGATGTTTTAGTGTCGCATCACGGTCAAAAATGCAACGCAGTTTGGAGCAGCGGTACGCGATAAAATTTTGCGTCAAACTCAGTAAATCCGCTACCGACACGCTTGAAATGTTAAGACAAGCCTATAGGAACAAGACTTTGTCGAAAGCACAAATGTGTAAGTGGCACAAGACGTTCAAAAAAAGAAGAGAAGACGCGAAGGACGAACAACGTTCAGGGCGCCCATCAACGTCCAGAACTGCCGATAATGTGACTCAAGTGAAGTCTGTTTTGAACTCTAACCGATGTTTGAGTATGAGGTTAATCATAGATAAGGTGGGACTGCCGAAATCGGATTGCATCGTATCATTTCGGAAGATTTGAACATACGAAAACCTGATTTCTCTACCACGACAACGCGCCAAGTCATTCATCGCTTCAAGTGAGAGAATTTTTGGCCAAGAAAAATGTGGCAATGCTTCCCCACCCACCATACAGTCCGGACCTGGCCCCGACCGACTTTTTTTGTTCCAGAGATTCAAATTCGGCCTGAAAGGACACCGTTTTGGGACAATTGAAAAAGTCCAAACAGCCGCGACAAGTGCTCTGAAAAGCATTCCTGATCGAGACTTCCCGTGCTGCTACTAAAAATGGCAGCAACGCTGCAACCGCTGTATTGACACTCAAGGATCCTACTTTGAAAAAAATTAAGTGGATTTGAACCTATTTTTAATAAAATGATAATCTAGAATTAGTCTCATTACTTTTGGGACAGACCATGTATATATTATATCAAAGGTGTAGTAGATACTTACTAAGATATTCACATTCACCAACATATCACATACACTTATTTTACTTAATACGAATTTTTAACAAATTTGGTCACTCGCACTACACTGCTCTGGATTAATATAAGCAGTCTCGAGTGTGCACCAAAGTAACAGAGCAATGTAGTGCGAGTGACCAAATTCACTATTATTACCCTAACAGCACACGATATCCTGCGTATCATCCCATTTTCATACTCATTCTACTGTGATTATCCGTTAAATACTGAGATCAATCCTATAATATCTTTTGCAGTATTATTCGCACACGTATAATCTCAGGTTTGACTCAAACGTACGGAAGTGATACGTACGCACTTTTATCGCGCGCGTATAATCTCAGGTTTGACGAGACCAGCACTCAAGATCTATAGAGAGAAGGTTACCTCAGGAAAACCGGTTATGGCGAGGGATGATGAATAAGGGGGGAGCTAGAAACAGCTTGGTGGCGAGGGGCGATGAAGGAAGGGGAGAGTATGATGATCTCATCGACAAACAGTAGCTGTCTGAGATAGCTTCTGTTTGCCAATGAGATCATCATTGCCTTTCTTGCCGCTCGCCCCGCTCAGCATTTGCCCCTCTTGCCGCTCATCTCTCTTTGCGCGTGAGGTAACCTTCTCTCTATAGATCTTGACCAGCACTAACCTGCGCCATTTACATACGTAATTCCTTTTCCCGCTTGCCCGGCATCAAGTGACACCACGCAACACCACGTATCCGAGGTTTTACTGATATCGAAGGTAATCTTTTTTCCTTTAAGTTTTATTTCACCAAATAGTGAATAAAGTGTAAGAGCTAGATAGTGTTTGTATATAATTTTTGTAATATTTTTATTATTTTTTATGTATTTGTTAAATTATTTTGCTTAAAATATTTTAAGGTTATGTTCGTAAACTTGCATTATAATTGCCTCTCACCTCTTTGGTTCTTGGTTAAATATACAATACATTTTTTTAATTATTTTTTAAACAATGTCTTAAAAAGATGATTTAACATAAAACTGTTTTCAGTTCGCAGTATCGTTCCTTTGAAGTTCTCTAGCTTAGGCTTCTAGAACTTTATTTTATATTGTAAGTTTTATGTAAATATTTTTACGCTTACGGTCGTAATTTTGAAATACAAATATCAATTAATAAGAAATTGACTGATTAATTAACCTAATCTAAATTATCCTATACAATATATGAACGCGCGCGCGTTTCAGCGCTTGGCTGTGTAAATGTGTGCATGTATATGTGATCTACTGCAACATTCCCATTTTTATCCTATCTTGATACTGTCTTTAAACTATAGACCTTCCTGCAAAATTCTATGAAAGATGGTACCGCGGACATACGATGATTCCTAGAACGTACTACGTACATCGCAGTACATTTGAGAATGTTCTGAGAATATTACAATTATACTTTTGCGATATTCTCAGATTGTTCTCAGTATCTACATGTGCTGTTAGGGATATATTCAACTATTACAAGATTCCAGCAATATATCCATTTTGCATGGTAATAGAAAAACAGGTTTCCTCGGTTTTATTGTTTGCTTAACAAATATGTTCGAACTTTTTAATATTCTTAAAGAAAAAGGGCTGTCATATTTGTTAACTTACAAATTAAACCAGGATCACCTTGAAACATTTTTTAGTGCGCTACGCAGCAAAGGAGGTTTCAATAATAATCCTAACGCAAAACAATTTCAAAGTAGTTATAAAAGATTGCTTGTAAGACATGAAATTCAAGCATACAAAAAACGGAAATTGTGAAATTAATGATATCCAAATTTTATATGTGTCATCGATAAATATGAGTAATGTAAGCGATGGTTTATTTACAGAAGGTGATGATACAATATCTACTAATATATTTGATCACGATTATTTGTCAACCTTATAGTCACTGAGTGCGTATGTTGAAAAGGTAATCCAATATATTAGTGGATTTATTGTGAAAAAATTATTGCGAAGAATTTGCCACGTCTGTTCAAGCTTTTTAATAGCCAAATCCACCAACTCATCTTTAATAAAATTAAAAAATTAATTAATTTTTCCATCAGTTGATGTCATTAAAATAGCTCGAGTATGTGAAATGACCATTCGGGAAAATAAACATAAAATTTTTATTATAAAAAATATTAAAAATATTTTGATTACAAGGACATTCAAAACTGTCTGCCATTCAGTTTTTAATGACATCGAAATGACAGAACATATTATGCAACAAGAAGTATTAAATGACCACAAGACCACACTGATAAAAAATATTATTTTAACATATATCAATATACGGTTATTTCACGAAGGCAAATGTGCAACATTATGTGAACAAAAATATTTTATTAGACATAAGTTTTCAAAATTAATTCATTTTAAACATCAATAAATATATATTTTTCTTCAATGTGTCTATATTAATATCTGTTCGATTTAAATCAACTAAGAAAGCGGTGCGCTGCGGCGGTACTAACGCATGCGCATTGTGAACATTTGGGAGTCTTTAGCTATCTCTCTCGCACAGATGCTTGCTTCAGGCTCGGTGTGTAAGCAATATAGGCAATTCCTCTTCCATTTATATATGTTCTAAGATAAAAGGAGTCGGTAGTACACGTAAGAAATAATATTCATATATACTAAAATAAATGTGGGCAATAAATGTAAATTTTAACGTTTTATTTAGAACATTGTAAATCTATTTTCCAGCATTCGAAAGAGAAGTTTTAAAAAATCAGCTGTTACTGAAAACTGCGATCTACGAAATAATGAATATCGTCCGCAATTTAAGCGACGAGGTTAAAAAACTGCAACAATCATCTAAAAATGGCAAGGCAAAGGACTTTGTCATGGAGAAAACAAATTTGCCTCAATTTCCAATGACGACGATTGAGAACTTAGAGGCCTTAGAAGGTCTTCTAATAGAAAAACCGGAAGCTTGCGTCGAACTTGTAAGTTTCACATGTTTTGTATCTTACACATTCCAGATCCAAAAATAAAAACAAATATTAAGAAATCTTATATTTTTGTCGTCTGGAATTTTTCGATAGTCTTTTAATTCAAACTATTGCGGACGTTAGTTGCCGTTGCAATTGAGGGCTACTTAATATATTAATTATAATATGTGTTAATAGGCGCAGTTGTTTGAGTTACGAAAACACAAAGATGCCCCGAGCACGATAAGGCGGGAGTTAATGCTGATTTTCCATCCTCTCTTAGCATGCAGCGTTTCGTGGAGGATACAATAACAATTTCAAATTTGAGGACACGAAGACTGCGAAAATCTTGTGTGGTAAGTAATACAGTCCAGAAGAATTCATCTCCTATATAGATATACAATATAATCACAAGTGAAAATTTTTAACTGGGATAGATTACATGTTTCATATTATTTCTATTATGTGATTGAATATATACTTGTATACAGGGTAATTCAAAATAACCTGATGTCCTTGCAATGCCATATTCTTGAGCGAATTCCGAGACGATTTTTCCTTTTACAAAATTTTGTCCGAAGCTTAGTTTTCGAGTTATAATTGAAAATAGTTTTCTACTTACAAGTCCGATACAACGGACAGACAGGGACGGTGTAATGTGTCATGAGACGATAGTAAACACTTGACAGTCTCATTATACGTTGCGCGTCCCTGTCTGCCCGTTGTACCGAACTCGTAAGTTGCTATCTACACTCACCCGAAAAAAAGCGGTACACTGAAAATGTGGGAAAAATTCATCAAATTTCAACTGACGATAACTTCGTAAATAATAAAGATAGAAAGTTCTATAAAATATGGAAATGAAGCTAAAAATCTCTACTTTAAGAATCAATTTATTTCAATGTTGCAAAATAAATTTATTGAAAATGGCGGATGACAAAGCGCGAGCATGCAAAATTGAAAAATAATGGTTCGAGTTTGCGACGGTGCACGGTATAAACAAAAAATTGTAGCTTATTGGGATCAAAAGCGTACAAAAGTACAGAGTCTCCTCTTTAAAATGCTTTTTATGCATCTCGATACGATGATTTTCGCCGAGAGATTCGCATTTGAAGAAAAAGGCAG